CTGGAGCTTTGTAGCTGCAGCAGCGACTCGGCTGAATCGGTCTTGAGCTGGGCATGGTGTGAGCTTAAAGCAAGCTGGCCTAGATCTTTCCTGATATAGAGTTCACGCATTCCCTGCTGCAGCACACAGAGCCGGGCGGAAGCCTAAGTACAGGGAAGGCAATGTGTACACGGTCTGTCAACGTGAATTTGCATTGGATGCCTTACGTCTCGTGCCAGTTGGAACACGTTTCCAATGCTGGCGCAGCCGCATCTCAGACAAGTCCAAGCAGCCGCTCCCTCCTTCCTAACTGCTCGCCGCCATGAGCGCCTTCCAGTGCTGCATCTTGACCTTCGCCGAGTCCCAGGTCGAAGTGCCTGAGCGCCCGAAGTCCTTCCGCTTCTTCAAGCTCGGCGAGAAGACCACGCAGCAGCTCAACTACATGATGGAGGCTTACGACCGTCAGTTTGATGAGGCGCGTGACGAAGGCGTGGGAGCGCAGCCGGAAGCTGAGGTAGAGCAGCCGGAGCGGGAGGAGGAGGAGGAAGTGCCGGAAGGTGTCCGACGCTTCTACCGCCACAGCAAGGTGCGAGTGAGCTTTACCTACGCCCAGAACTACCAGTACGTGCTGAAGAAGACCACGGAAGTGGGCGGTCGCAGGGTGTTCATCTTGAAGTCCGTCTCCGGACAGATGACACACCTGTGGGTGAAAGTCCTGAGCAGCCGAGTCGTCCAGCTTTGCCTTCGGCCCACCCTGCAAGGGGTCCACGTGCAGGCTTTGAGCCTGGCCGGGCGACAGCTGGCGGAAGCCAGGCTTCCACCAAACTCGACGCTGAAGAGCGCCACTGCTGCCTTGCTGGAAAGCATGGACTTGTCGAGTGCGGAAGCCTCCCTCGTAAAGTTTGTGCTTGGCTCACAGGCTGCGGCGATGGACCGGCCTTTGCGCAGCTTGAGCGCTGTCATCAACGACTTGCGGAAGCATCGTTGATGACTTTACGAGGGGGGTTTTTGCTGTCAGGAATGACATGCATGGACTATAACTAATATATGTATTAAATATAGTACAAGTTTGTTTTGGACAAGGTGCGTGCAAACTGTCCATGCGCAATCCTGGCAGCAGTCATGCCGGAAGGCCCGAAGAGGCTATCTGGCAGCAGGCGTGCTGGAAAGCCCTGAAAGGGCGGCATGCCTTTGCTCAGTCGCGAATTAGTTTGGCAGCAGCAGGAATGCCCAGAAGAGGCTATACTGCACAGGACGACAGAGAGATCTGAAAAAAGAACGGCCTCCAACTGTTTCTGCAAAGTTTCGTCTGCGTGCAACGGCTGCTTCAGCTATACGTGCAGAGGTTGCCACCGCCGACACTGCTCACTCGTCTGATGTCAGTTCGGTTGCATGGTGCTGCGTCAACCGCTGCCAGTGCAGTGAAATCAAGCTTGCAGTATAGCTTGGAGGTCCGATGCCAGATGTTTCAAAAACTAAGCAGAAATGCCATTTAGTTCGTCCAAGAACGCAGTCTTGAGATACATTTGCATTTTGCACACGATGTACGTCTGTCTGTATACATATAGATATTTAGGAATTCAGCATGTCGAAGCGCAGGCTGCCGGAAGGCGAGGCAACCGAGAGGGTTGCTCGCCACGCATCCAGACGGGATGCTCCGCCGGCTGCCGTTCGCGACCTCACTGGGGAGCAGGTGGACCCCAGAAGAAGGAGGAAAGTGGAAAAGGCCACCGTGGACTCTCTCTACGACTACGTGGAGATCCCGCTAGCCGCGGAAGCGGCGGGTGGTGCGTGAGCGGCTGCTGCGGGAGCAAATGCGGAAGCAGAGCCGCTGAGATATCGCCAGATTTCCAGCGTCTGCTCCAGGCCAAGACGTCGGGCGGAAGCCTCCGCCTCCGGTTTTCTGTTTATGGTGACGAGGTGACGCCCGGCAACCCGTTGGCGCCGAACAACCAGCAAAGAGCGTACTGCTTTTACTGCAGCGCACTGGAGTTCGAGGAGTTCCTCCTGTCCGAACAGTGTTGGCTCGTGCTCACCGTTGTGCCAACTTTCACCATGAAGACCGTCAAGGCAGGACTGTCTGGCTTTGTGCGATGTTTGTACGGCCACCTGCGATATCTGCAGCTGGGTGCCAATATCCAGCTTGGCGGAAGTCAGCTCTTCGTGCATGGTTCTGTGTCGCACTGCTTGTATGATGCAGCGGCTTTGCATGGACTGCTGGGAAGCACTGGGCACTCAGGAAAGAAGCCTTGCTTCCGCTGCGGCAACATCTACAGTCGCTTCGTGAATGTGCCGCGAGACGCTCAACGCCAAGGCCTGCGAACTTTGGATGCCGCGGAAGATCAGCTTCGCTGTATGACCAATGAGCACATCTTCGAGGTGGTGGACCATGTCGTGGCGGCCTCCCGAGACCAGCCGTCCCTTTTCCTATATAAGACATGCAGCATATGTTTCTAATAATATATATGTGTATATATCTATATATATNNAGTGAAGGCGTGCATGGAACACGTTTCTTTGCTACATGTGTTTGCCACGATCTCCGTCAGGAAATACAAGGCCAAGAAACTTGTCACAGACCTTGGCTGGAATGCTGTGGAAGGAAGTTTGCTCACGGACGATGCTATTCGCCGCGAAGTGCCACCTCTCACACACTACTTCGATCCCATGCATGTGTTCTTCGTGCAGGGACAGTTTTCCAGGCATGTCGGTTTGCTTTTGCAGGCGTTGAAGAAGATGGGCTGGACCCCTGACCGCATAGCTGAAGCCTGCACAGATGATTCCATCAAACACCGAAACACACGCAAGGTCGCCAAGGCGCAATTTGCTCGCGAGCTGGGAGACGCATATTTCACTGAAGATGGAATCTGGAAAGTTTCCGCATCCAGCCAGCTTGGAGCTGCTCCGTTGCTCCACTTCCTCATCCGTTTCATCGTCTTTCCAACCATAACTTGTCCTGACTTGAAGAAG